GAGGGCGGGAGGTTGTAATCCTCTTCCCTGGAACATTTATTTTTTACACAGCAGTGAATCCTCCAACACTAGGAAATATTGTCTTTGCCTTTTTCTTTTTGTAAATGAAAAGTGAATGTTGTCCGTTGTTTTAATTCTGGCTTAAATAAACAAACTCTCTCTGGGAAGCAGGAGCTGCATCAAGGTTTGCAAAGCTGGGTGGTGGTTTGTGTCGCCTGGGACTCTCAGACGGTTCACCAAAGCAGCTCAGCTGTTGGAGAGGCCAAAAAGGAGCCCAGGCTAGCTTTCTCGGGGTGGGGAGACGGGGAGAGGAACTCCTGCAGGAAATGCAGTCGCCATGGGGGGGGACGGGGGGGGGGAAACGGGGCCTTTCCTGCGGAAGAGGGTCCGGCTCCATCTTCACAAGGATTGCTTCCTGGGGAAGAGGAGCTGCTGGGGACAGCTGTTCTGGGGCGCACGTAGGTAGCCCGGTGGGCCAGCTCAGGAAATCAACTCTGCAGGAAGTTGGATAAGATGGACTCTTTATTGATGTTGGCGTTCCCCAATAGCCCAGTCGATCAGGAAGGGGCCCTTTCTGGATCCAACCTCCTTTCTCGGGGCTTAAAAAAACACCAGCCCTCCTTCCCTAGACAACGGATCCTGCATATTTCTGTCAAGGTGGGGTTTTTAAAAAGATGTGTATCCCAATTTCTTCTTCCATGTACAACTCACAGTGGCAAGCATCCCTAATATTCCTTCTCTTTTTCCAAGAACAATTCTGTGTGGTGGGTTAGACTGAGAGGGACGGGCCCAAAGTCACCCAGTTAGACAACAGTGGGACTAGGTTCCCTTGGTTCTAGGCCAACCCCTTGCTTCTCATTATTGCTATAATGTAATGCAGGTAGTCCTCATTTAGCGACCACCGTTGGGATCAGCAACTCGTTATAATTAAGGAAAGCCATTGCTAAGCAGGAAATGATGAGGACCCAACTGCACCTCTTTTTTTGCCACTCCCCGCCCTTTGAGTGCTCCCACCCACCTGCCCCCAGGGCTGGCACCGCCTGTTCAAGACTAATGCAAGACTAATCGGTTTCACTCCTTCGCTTTGTTCACCTCCAAAGCGCTCCACCCCAGCTGCATGATTCACGAGAGGGGGGAAATAATGCTTGTATTTACATTCATTGGAGGGGAGAATTACAAGGAAGTAAAACAGTCAGGCGATGGGGAACACGTTCAGGGCATTGCTTTTGATTTGTGTTCCCCACTGTATACCTGCTTACTCCCTTGTCATCCCTCCGTTACAATCTCGGTCCTTCACAAGGTGGGGAAAAAGAGATGAGAAGTACCGAAGGTGTCGCTCCCTGTACTCCCCAGCCTGCATGTCTGGCATTATGCACCGCCCCCCCCCCCCCCCCCCCCCCCCCCCCGGGATCTGCAGAGCAAAGACGGCGACTAGCAAATACTTTGAAAAGTTCAGAGCAGAATCTGGCTTGCTTCTCCCCCGAGGTCCACATTAGGGAGAGAGGAGCCGTGACAGACGCACAAATGGTATTTTGATAACTGCCGATAAGTTAATGGAGGTAATAAGAGAATAGTCCAAGATTTGGACAGAATTTGAAGTGATAGGAATTGGATGTAGAAATGCTGCCTCTTTCCTAACCTAGCAGGATCCTCCTAGTCTACAAGGAAGGAGATCCTGGGGCTTCTATTGCGTCAACGTGGAGAGCAATAGCAGTACTGGGAGCACGGCAGGCAAAGCTCTTGGGTGGTGCCCTTGGTTGGAGTACCCGTAGTGTGTTCGACATCCTCTTTCCAGGTCCTGGAAGGCAATGGGTGTGTCATCGGGAGCAACTCCATTGGAACTCATCTTGTTCCGCACCTGAGGAAGGAGAAGAGCTTGTTCAGATTAGTTCATTAGATTTAGATTGGGTTATATTCCTCCTCCTCCTCCCTTCTCCACAGCAGTCCTCTCAGGTAGACTGGACTGGGGAAGAAAACGGGGGTTCCAAGATGCCCACTGAGCTTCCATGGGCAGAAGTGAGCCAGATTCTAGAGCTTCATGGTCCTGATTTAACACCTTAACCATTAAGGCACACTTCCACCTAGATTTTCTGAGTCCCAGTGGTTCTCTTGGGTGGGGAGAGGTTCTTCAAAGTCAGGCAGTTCAAATAGAAGAGGAAAACGAGCCCAAGATGGAGACGAGAGCTGCTGAGGGCTCAGACATCGCCAGCAGATAGAGCTGAGGTTCTCCCCCAGCCACCTCCAGCTCCTCTTCTGGCCTGAGGGGTCTTACCTGCTCTACTTCCTGTAGGACCCGCAACAGATTGTTGGCCAGGGCATCCTTCACTTCCTCTTCTGTCCATTTCCTCCTCAGCAGTTCAGCAATTAAGTCTGGGTATTTGGAGACATCCTCCAAGCCTTGAGGGACTCTGTGAGCCAAAAAAAAAGACCAGGGAAATTGCAAGGAATTCAGTGCGGGGTTCCACGTCTCTCGCCCCCATCCTTGCATGCCCTCTTCTCATGCCAGGGCTGAGGTCTGGTGCTGCACCACCTCCAGGAGCCCATCTGCACCGCCCTGCTCCTTAATTGGCCATGTCTTGGTCAGAGGGCAAGAGGTCTAAGGGCCAGGAGCGCCTTCCCTCTCAGGGTGCCTGTTCCTTCAAGGCCACCACACATACGGGCCAGAGCTGGGACATGGTTCCTGCAGCCCTGCGCTAAACTGCAGGTAGCATTCTTGGCAGGTGCCTACAGTCTTCGAGCAACGAGGCCACTCTAGCCTTGGGGCTTACATTTGCCCCACTGCAGGCTGGGCTTCTTTCAAGTCTACCCTCACCCCCCTGCCTCTCCTGCTGATACCTGGGCACCCCGTCATAGTCTCCTCCAATGCCAACAGCCTTTGCTCCAGCAACGCGCTTTATGTAGTCCATGTGATCTGCAGGTGAGAAGGGTGAGAGGTTGAGCACTTCCCGTGTGCCTCAGTTCCCCCTCCCGTGTCTCCTTATGTGCTGTTCCTGCTCTGCTGGGATTACCTGCTACCTGGGCCAGAGTGGCATGGCTGCTGCAGGAAATGTAGTCATTGTAGAAGTTGACCATGACAAGGCTGCGTGTCTCATTCTGCAAGGAGAGGAGAGGGCATCATCAAAGGGGCTACCCAGAAACAGCAAGCACCTCCGTTTCTCCACCCCCTCTGGACCCTGCGGCACCCAACCACGTGTGTGCCTGGTAGGTGGTGGGCCAGGCCGTCACCTGAGGAGCCAAGGAAGAACACCAAGGAAAAGCTCCCTGCCCAACCTGAATCGATGCTCCTGGAAGCCTGTGCCGTGGGACTCACACCCACGCCAGCCCAGCCCTGCTCACCACTTGGCGGAGCACCTCGTCTGGTACATTCCGCCTGCTTGGGCAAACGGCATAGGCCGAGGAGTGGCTGAATATCACGGGGGCCCTGGAGACCTTCAGGGCAGCCTTCATCGTCTCCACAGAGACATGGGACAAATCCACCATCATGCCCAACCGGTTCATCTCCAGGACCACACGCTGTGGAGCAAAGAAACAGGGAATCGTTTGGCCGGGAGAGACAGGAGAGCTCCTGGTTCCACCTTGGCCTTGGGAAGGTGAGAGAAGATGCTCAGGAGACTCTGGGTTCAGGAGGAAAAGCCCCGGAAGCATTGGGGCCTTCCCCAAACCCCGTTGCACAAGCTGTCATCTCACATCAGTTGCCCCCACTGAGGCCTTCCTGTTTTGCTTCAGTTGAGCTGCAAGCTTTGCTCCTTCGTGGTGGTTACTTTTGCAACCCCCAATGGGAGCTCCTGTTAAGCTGCTCTGCTTCGGGCCAATGACAAAGCCTCTTCTCTTCCCTTTGGCAGATGAGATGCGCAGCTTGGGTAGCTGCCTACAGCTCCCTCCCCCCCCTTCAAATCCGTCCGCAGGGCCTTTGCTGACCTTCCCAAATTCTGTCAAGCCATTGTGAACAGGCTTCTCTTCAGCTGTATCTACCAGCCAGTTGTCGGCCCTGCCAAGGAAAGCGGACACCAGATGAAGGAGCATAGAATCCTGACCCTTCCTCCTCTACAACCTCCTCTTTAGGCAGACCTCCTCCCCCCCCAAATGGAACTCTGCTGTTGGAATGAATTGCCCCGTGACCCTCTTCCGCCCTTCCCTACACAAATGCTTGCAAGGCTACACAACAGCCATGAGCTGTCGCTCTGCCCTGCTCAAGGGCACCTCAGTTGCTATGCCCATATTCGAGAGCAGGCTTCAGGGCCTCCCCGCTCACCAGGGAGTGTTGCAACTGTGGGTGAGAGTCATGTAGCGCACGCCCAACAGGTAGAAGGTGCGCAGCACAGCCAAGCTGCTGTCAATGGAATGGCCGCCCTCCACACCGATTAGGCTGGCCACGTGGTGAGTGTCAAAAGCCTTCTGGATACCTGCAAGAAAAGGAATTCCATCCAGTCTCCAGGGCCAGGTGCTCATTGTATAGGGTGGCCAGCTGGGAATATGAGGGGGTTTGAAGTCTCCACCAGATTTTCACAATTAAGGCGAGCTTACCCTCCCCCAACCTGATCCATGCTGCTTTTCTGCATTGAATAGTGGAGAATTCTGGCAGAAACGGAGTTTGTGTGTTGCAATAAACCAGCTAAGGATTTGTTTCAATACTCAAAGAATGTTGGCCTGGTTCACACATCAACTAAGCTGTGGCTTGCTCGTCTGTCAGCTTGTTGAATAAACTGCAGTCACCTGAGTTCACTCAGTGTGGCAAGCCAGGATGATGTTGTCATTGTGTGAACCCGGGCATGATGCTTTGTAATCCTTGGGTTACATGTCATATTTTCTGGTTTAGTCAATGAATCATAGTTTTAAAAAATGGTTGCATGCATTAGATGTAAACCCAGCTCCAGACAGTTTCTCCTGCCACATCAGGGACTTAAGATTTTGGGTGGAAAAGTTGACAAGGCTAAAACTTGCACTGGGTTTTGGCCCTGATTCCTGAGCAGTTGCTAATGGACAGAGCCCAGGAGTCGTCCTGCTTTTCCCTGGAAGCAGCTTATCACGAAGGGCCACTTGCTGGATTCCATCACCTGGAACGGCCCCCCCCACCTCACCTGGTGCCCTCCTGACTTGTTGTGTGCCCTGTGCTAAGGGTCACGTGGTTGGTGTTAGGAATGTAAGTCACTTAACAGTTATTTGGGTTGGAAATATATAAACTAGGATAGACATTTTAATACTATGTCTTTAAGAGAATGCTAAACTGTAATTGGGTGTGTTTCAAACAGCCATAAGATGGAGCCAGAAACCTGGGTTGTTTAGTCTCAGAAGAGAGTGTGAGTGAGTCTCTGTTTCCTTCTGTTGGAGAGTGTTGCCGTTCCTTCTAATGACTGTTACGGATCGTTGATGTAAGTCTGTTACTGAATTGTTTTTGATACTGGACTTTGACATTTGGATTATCCCTGAACTGAACACTGACTGATTTACCTGTGAATGACTTGGACTGCTTATCTTGGACTGTGCTTAAACGTTTATTGGAAGTAAAAACCTACATTTACTGTACAGTGTATCTGTGTGCTGTGTGTGTATTATTCAACATTACTCTCACTACGTCTCCCTGTATGCGCTCATTCTCCTAACGTGGAATTACCTAAACAGTTGGGCCCCTCCTTGGCCAGCCAGGAAGCAACAGCCGGAGGCCCCATCTCTGCGCTTACCTGCACTGTCAGTAACACACTTAAAGACATCTGGATATCGGTGGCACATCCGATGGACAACATCGATCTGCTCCAGAGTTCGCCTCACTGCGTCTTTGTTTTGGGTGTCGCAGGGCACATAGGCTGCCCAGAACTGCAAAAGGAAGGAAGGAAGGAAGGAAGGCAAATGTGTATTCAAGCTGCTTTGTTCCCGCTTCCTGTGTGAGCTTTATCAGGAGGCCGCATGATCTGTATCAGCAGATGAGCTAAGGTTGGGGTGCAAGTGGAAAGGACAGGAAGGAAGTGGGCAGGCAGCAGAGGTTGGACCCACTGAAGGGTTCTTAAAACACACATAGATTGGAAACACAACCGAAAGGCCTAACAATAAGCTGGGCTGAAAATCTTTACCTGAAAGTAAGCAAACTTATAAGGTTTTGCAATTCGCAAAAATCTGGATGATCAGATGTTAAATTAATCTCTCTTATTTTATTGCGTGGGAGGCTGGCCAGGGAGTCCTCTGCTCATCTCTTACCTGGGCTCCTACATGTCCGAGACGCAGCTTTGGGATATTGGTATGAGTGTCTTGAAGCTCGTGCAAATTGGCTTCCTTCAAAGACAGCTGGTTGTTGAATTTTGTCAGCAACTGCCAGGGCAGATCGTTGTGACTACAAAAGCAAAAGACAACATCTTATCATCTTGAGTAGATGCTGGGTTATGATTCAAGAGGCTGATTGAAGCAGATAAGGGATACAGCAATTGTCCTTGGAGGTCAAAGGTTGAGATGATAACAATCTTCCTTACATCAGATTAAAGGATGGGCTGAACTGTTGTAAATTATGGATTATTTATAATACGAAGACTCTGGCTTGCTTTGATCAGAGAAAGCAATTCATAGAACAACAAAAATCCATACATTATTTATTTGTCAAAATCTCACTTGTGGCTCTGGATGGTGTAGAATTAAAACATAAAAACTATACAATAAACCAATAAAAGAGCCAGGTGTAAAAAAGAATAAAACAAGTTAAAACTTAAAAGGCTGGGGGAAGTGGATTAAGATGCCAGCCACACCCAGCTTTCTCCACAGTTACACTTCCTGTCATGGTTAATAGCTAACAGCCAGCAGCCTTGCTGGATTTGCAGAAGATCCTGCCCTCCTGGCAACTATACTTGACAGGTGATGAAAGCCTACTTTGTCCATTAATGGCTTGCCTTCTAACTGAGAAATTCAGTTATTCACTTGCATTTAACTGGAAATGGCAGAGCAACCAATCCACAAAGTGCCTCTTCTTTTTCCACTATCTGTAGGAAATAAGTTCAGCTATAAATAAACAAATAGCATTCAAGATCAAAGCAAATTCTCTTTAAAAAAAAGAGATAGGACCAGGTCTGTTATTATTTAAAAGTTGGTTTGATCTTGAATGTTATTGTGTACTGAATTTAAACTGATGTTCCTTCCTAATTCCCAGAACTTCCAGCCACTGCTCAGCTATATTTGTTGACACAAAACAGCTGGAATCCACCTGGAGTTCCCAAGATTGCCTCAAATGTGCCTCTCCACCCGCAGCTGTTTCCACATTCAGGAGGAATCCCAGGCTTCCTGGTGCCCAAAGAGGGACCTGCTTCTACCTTCTACTGGAAGTCACGCTGGTTTGTAAGAAAGAGCCTGTTTGTTTCTTCACCTCTGGATTTCCCAGCACCTCCAAGGCCAAGCGGCCATTGTACTTCCACCCCAACTCCAGAACCCTCCAGGGAGAGGTGTCAAGTTTGGCCAACCCCGAGGGCAGTCACCTGGTAGTTGATTATTCACTGAGCAAACAGCTCCTTGATCAAGGCCAGCGGGGAGGAGTGGGGGGCTGTAGCCTCTTCCCCTGCATTGTTCTGAATCCTCCTTGAGTTCTGGGAGAGAAAACTCTCACAGGCTGCCTGCACCCTTGGCCTAACGGAATGCACACTTGCGCAGCTCCTTTTTCCTTACTCCGAGTAGCCCTTAGCCTGGAAACTCCCTTCCCACGATGCTGGCCCAGCACAATTCGGCTGCCTCTCCTGCCACGTCCTCCTCCTCCACGAATCCTTTCTGAAGCTGCTTCAGGAAGGTCACACCTGGCACACTATGACAGCGGGACTTTTCTCTCTGGTTCTGCTGCACACAAAACCTTACCAAAAAAACCCTGCCTTCTTACAAGTGACACATTCGCCACCCATCTGGCCAAGGAGAGATCTCAGCCCCAGGTTCTCCCTCCCTGTTGGCCATCTGTTTATACTACATCGGGGGTTTTGCTCCCAAATCCACTGTTTTATTTCCAGAGAATGACATTGGACTGTTTGTTCCCTGCTTTGGGGAGACGCTTGTGCCATTTTTCACCCCCGCCCTCCCCGCAAGGGCTCCTTCACCGCTTTCTCCACTGCAGCCCATCATCATTCATCAGCTCCTAAAGGGGTTTTTTCTCAGGAAGCCTCGATGGGAAACTTCCTCCTAGCCTGCCCTACAGATTTTGTTCCCTGGAACAGAGCAGCCCAGTCGTGTCGCACGGACTTTTTAAAGGCGTCTCAAGTCATGTGGCCTTGTGCCAACAAGCCAGCCCAGTGGAAAGCTGCGTGCCAGCAGGAGGCCCTGGAGGACCAAGAACGATCCCCACCTCTTCCAAGACAGGGCTTTGCTCCACCAACCCACCGCAGGGAAAGGAAGGCTGTCCTCTTACCCGTCCACCACAGGTGTGGCATTCATTATTTTGTCTGCCTCCAGCTGATGGACATCTGCCAAGCAGGTGGAGAACCAAGCAAGCACCAGGTAAGGCACCAGCAGCGGCATCCTGGGGCGAAGCTGGACCGGCAGTCGAGATCTCCTGAAGCGTTTCCTCCAAGGGATCCTCCGAGGCAAACGGAGCTCTAAGGAGTGGCTGAGTGGGATCCACCCATCATGTGGCAACTCCTGAGGGTGAGTGGGGCTTGGGAGGAGCCAGGGAGGCCTTCAAGCAGCTGAGCTCATCCTGCCCCTTGGAGCTGAGCAAGGGAGACCCAGGAAGGGTCCCTCTGGGAGGGACAACCTGCGGAGGGTCTGGGCAGCTGCCACTCCCTTTCCTGGACCCCCCAGCCCCCTTTGGCCCTGGGGGAAAGGCCTCCCCTGCAGTGTATCCCGTCCAAGAGACCTTTTGCCCCAGGACTCTCTTTCTCCTCCAGGCTCAGTTCTGGGGAGCCTCCTCCCTTGGAAGGGATCCCTTGGGAACATCCAAACGAGGCAGCATCTGGGTGGGGACCAAGTAGGCCAGGGGGTTCTTTCGGGCTGAACATGCAAACCAGAGGCTGCGGGGGTTCATTTGTGGTGGAAACAGCCCAGTCCTCGCCGGGCCACTTTCTTCTTTGCTTTCATATAAGCAAAGGAGCAGCAGATCCCAGGGTGAAAATCAGCCTCGTGCAGAGACTGGGTCTCTCTAGATCCAGTTCTGCTTTTATCCAACCTTGCTCTCGGTCAGGGGGAAAGGGTGGTCCTTTGGTTCAGGACTGGTCGTGGTTCATGGCATCGCCAGGTCTACGGAGCTCCACCTGGTCGTGCCAAGGTTGTCAGTCACACAGGGGGAAATTGCAGCTGTTCCAACCACGGGGCTGCTGAGCCTGAGCTGTGTTTCCTTTGGAAGCCTTGCAAGGGTGAGCGCCCCCTCCCCCAATGCTGGAAGGAGATTCTCCTCCCCCCTTGGGCAGTGGTGGGCACAAGGGGTCTCGCTGGGATGGGCAGCCCGCTTAGCTGGGCTTCAGCCCTGCTACGCCCCAGATTTGATTCAGCAGCTCAGCACAACTAATTGCGGGGAGAGCGAGGGTGAGGAGAGGCCTCGTGGTGTGGAGTTATGGCGATGTGATCCACAGCAGCCTCCATGGGAAGGCGATGCTGTTCCGTGGGTAGCTGGAATTTGAGGGCGTAGAGACAGCCGTGACAGGTCCCTGATCAATTCTGCCTGTTACTGAGTAAGATAATTAGAAACCAACAGACAGGAGGCTTAGGAAAGAAATAAGCAGGGATCAAGTTAATTATAAGGGCTTTCTAAGCTCCTGTTAGGCGAGGGGGGGCAGCATGTCCATCTAACTATGAATAATGACCTAATAAGTTATGACTTTGTTTGCTTTTAAATTGATTTCCATGCAAAACTTACCTAAGTGGGGATGTGCTTTGTAAGAACCGCATAAAAGGAACCTTGAAAGGAAGGGAGTGTAGGCTTACTCTGGCGCATTTTTTCCTGCCTCCCCCCCCCACCTTTATTTGTGCAACTTGGGAAAACTGGGAAAACTCTGGAGAAAGGGGTGGGGGGATGGAAGAGGGGACACCAAACACTGAAGTTGTGGCTGCATAAACATGAGCCTTGTTGCTCGTCTCCAGGCAGACTCTGATGGCTAATCTGGAAATGAAGAAGACACACGTTGGCACTTGGGAGAGTGCAGAGTTCCTGAAGGACGGACTTCAACACCAGATAGAAGAAGACAGGGATGTCACATTCTCCTAATTCCGTTGTGCTCTTTAAGTTACCTTGCACATAGTCACACGTTCAATTATTCTCTCTCTTTATATGTTCCTAACAACTTCTTAAGTAGGTCAACAAACCAATCAGGTTTTTCCATTCTGGCATCAATAACAAAGTAGCTCAGAAAAACAAAGCAGAACCCACACATTACACCATTGTGTTGGGCTTTCTCTCCCCCCCCCCCCCAAGTATGGTTGTGACTATAATGTGCCACCCTTTTTTTTTCTGGCCCAGTTTCTCTGCTCATAAGTCAATAGTGTTGTACACACTTTGATTTATTTTTAAAATTAAGGTTAAGATTTGCTACTTGTATTCATATTCATAAAAACAGACCAGATGTGCATAATTGCTCTGTCAAATTGCTGGCATCTCCTATTCTATTCTTTGTCCTGCCATTTAGATTTAAAAAAACAACAAAAAGGATTTGAAATAAAACAATTAGCCAGGAAAACAGAAGGACCACATATTGCAAATCATCCAGTTTGGCTGAAAGATCAAGAACAGTTGGAAAGACCCAACCGGCGTTATGAAATCATTGATTAATTTGTCCTGATTTTATTTCCATTAGTACGGAAGAATCTCTTCTGTTTCCAGAGATAAAGAAAGCTGATCCACCTGCGGCCAGTGAGGGTTTTGGTTAGAGAAGCTTAGAGGTTTGGGGAGGATACCTCCCACCACTGGGCTGAGCAGGCGGGGAGGGAGGTTCTTTGGCTGCCGGAGAGCAGAGAGGCCTCGGCGCCATGGCTCGGCTGAACGTGACCGAGGTTTTTGCCGACATACGCCTGCCGGGACACCTCCACACCCAGAGCTCCCTCCACTTTGCCAGCAACTTTGAGTTCCAGGACACAGATGTCCTCCTCGTCACTTACCCCAAGTCAGGTAAAGGGTGTGGTGGACCCGTGCTGGGAGAGGAGGATGGAGGAACGTCTCGGTTTGCCAGGCAAACTCTGTGCAAAACCAAATCCTGTGGTGAGATTAAGTAGCAGCGAGTGTTTACTCAGAGTACAAAAGGGAGCCTCTTCTAAAGATATTGGAAGCCTGGGATGGCTCAGACGGGACAGTTCCTTCTGCTCCAGGACTCTCCAGCTGGGCTCCTAGTCCTCCCTTGGTGGGACTGAAGAGATTTTTCCTCTTGGGGGAGGCGTGGAATAGCTCATTCATGAAAGAAACGGCCCCCTCCTCTCCTCCTCTCTACAGAAGCTGCTGTCTTTGTTGTTGCTCCGAGGGCTTATTACTTGGTGCCTTCGGAGGAAACGCAAACTTCTCTTAAAAGAATTGAAAGGCTGCGGCTAAGACAAAGCACCTTTGAACCAAGGCATTCTAGTTACAGTGGCATTTCTTTCCTGAGCTTTATTATAATTTTTTAACAAAGTAATAACCAGAGAAGAAAACAAATAAAAATAATAAATAGGGAAGAAAGAAAACAGGAAAAAAAATAGAAAAGGAAAAGAAAGTTGACAGAGAAGCAATTTCGAATCTTCTTGACCATGGTCTCTTTTGTCAGCAAAAGATCCATCAGGGTTTGTAGTCGCTGGTCAGTGATCTTTCTCTCATCAAGCAAGTTCATGTTGCCAACTCTGCTACTTCTGTCATCTTCACCAGCCTTTCCTCCGTTTCACGGCCTTTACATATTTGTGCACAGCACACCAGTCTTGCAACAGGCCACGTGGCATTTCAAGTAACCCTGAACAAGAACTTTGTGGCTGCCTGAGCAGTCTGAGTGCGGAAACCCATCAGCTCTTTTGATAAGATAGTGGGCTGCAGCTTGAAAGGGGAACAATAAAGGCAGAGGATGGTAGGATTATCTTATTTGGCCTCTGAAACAATAAGTGCTCAGTCTTGACTCAAAGGGAAATGATGGTCTTTGAAATATTCAGAGGTAGTAGGAGCGTTGATCACTGACTGACCCCTGAACTCCTGCCCAGTTTCAGCCCTCTCCTCCCAGAAAGGCCCTTCCCAAGAAGCTGTGAAGGGCCCTGACTCATCAACCAGATCTTGGCCTACATCCCCACCCCACCAACCCAGAGAATCTGTGTGAGGCCCCCTCTGTCCTTCCAGGTAGTTTATACCATAGAATCCCTGAATCCCACCCAACCCCTTTTTGGTTCCAGGCTGGAGGCCTTTGGGGCATTGTGAAGAAAGAGGAGGTGGGCAAAGAGAAAACGCAGCCGAGCTGGACTGAGCGCCCTTGTCTCCTTTGTCGGTAATTCTGGAGTGGGGAAGGAGAGGAGGTTTGTCTTTATGCAGGGGTCTGTCTTGTAGTTGCATAAATGTGAGTCAGCAGACAAATATGCTGGCACAACTGGTTCTGCCCAAGAGGTGAGCTCTAATCTGCATGCGTTTCTATCCATTGTTTGTGTTCAGTGGACTATCAGTAAATCAGACCATCAACTGAGTGCTGTACTGAAGGTAGCTGAAAGGTTGGTAGAGCTCTCTCTGTCTGCTTGGTTTTCTCTCCCACTGGTGTCGGCTGCCAGGGAAAACAGCGCCGCCATTTCCTGACTTGTGGCGGAGTGGGCTTGGGGAAATGTTGGGGTGCACCTTTGCTCCAAGTACCTTTTAAGTTGCCCAGGTCAGTAGAGATGCCCAGTCACCTGTCCATTGAACCCCAAGGGCGCATTTCTGTTCCTGTCCTCTGGATAGTCTTCTGAATGAGTGGATGCAGGTGCCACACCACTTTCTCTTCTGCACAAGTGCCCTTTTCCCCCAAGGAGAATCTGTATAGTTCTTGCGGTCAAATAGTCTGCAGTTCCACAGGTCTTGGTGATCATGCCAGTCTTCCCCTCCCGCCCCTCAGGCACCACCTGGATGCAAGAAATCTTGACCTTGATCCACAGCAATGGCAACCTCGAGCCCATAAAGACTCTTCCCAACTGGGCCCGAGCGCCCTGGTTAGAGCACAGCTATTTCCGAGAGCAACTTCAGCACATCCGGTGTCCTCGCCTGCTCACCACCCACCTGCCTCAGCCAGTACTGGCACCTGCCCTGAAGAAAGCTAAGCCCAAGGTGCGTCTCCGGGGGTCCATTTGAGAGCCAGCGTTCCCAAGAATGAGGGCAACATCTTCAGGTGGGGCTACCCTGGGCCCCCCAGGGGCCTTTCAGGGGGACAAATGTGGCAGATTCAGCTTAGCAGGTCATGGTGCCTCTTGTGAAGCCAGTCAAGGAACCCGCAGCAAGAGGAGAGCCAAGGTTGGGTTGGCAGGTGGTCAAAACAGGAAGGCCTATGGGGGGCGGGGTCAACTTGTCCATTCTTTGCTGCTGCAGGTGATCTATGTGGTCAGGAACCCAAAAGATGTGGTGGTGTCCTACTACCATTTCCAGAGAATGGCCAAGTTCTTCCCTGAACCATCCTCCTTTGAAGGCTTCCTTCATGATTTCATGGCTGGCACCGGTAGGTGGAAGGGCTGAAGGATCCTGCCGTTCGTTTCCCCGCTAAGAGCACAGCCATTCGGTTCAGTGTCGTGTGTTTTAAGTCAATGTATATACATCACTGCTTGCCAGCATGGGGTGGCTCATGTCATTGTGCTTAAACAGCAGTTGCAAAGTTCAGAGGAAGTGGTGGCAGCGCTGGGTGGTTCTTTAAACCCCCGGTCTCCAGTTTCACTGCCACTTCCTTTGTGGACATCTGACCGTCTTTACAGCTCTCGCAATCGGCTTTATTGTAACTGCAATAAACTGCTATTGTAAATTTGGGGGCTGTTGGGGTTGTGCATTTGTTTTAGCAAGCGCTGTTTCCGCTCAAAGAGGGGTCTCCGAACTTGGCAACTGTAAGACTTGTGGACTTCAACTTCCAGAATTCCTCAGCCAGCGTAGCTGGGAGTTGAAGCCCACAAGTCTTACAGTTGCCAAGTTCAGAGACAACCCTCCCCACCCGCTTAAGCGGTGCCTGACTGCTTTGGTAGCAACTGTTTCCAATTAGTCCCAGAAGCTGCAGTTGGTTCTGTAACTGGAGGCCGAAGTTTCTGGAGGCTGCTGGGAGCCTCCGCCAGTCCGATGATCTCCAGATGTGGTGGAGGATCGTTCTGTTCGTGCTGGCTGGGAATGCTGGGGCTTGTGGTTCCAGGCGGTCAGAGGGCATTAGGTGGGCGACGGCTTTTTCAGGCAGGCTGGAGATGGTGAATGTGTTGCTATTGTATCAGGCTGCATCGACTCGGTTGCTTTCGTCCTTTAACGGCATGGATTTTCTTAAAAAAAGATTGGTCCCTTTTCCATTCTTCAGCAGTTTTGCAAAGTCACTGTTGTCAGGCCTATCTGGAGGTGAATTAAAAACATTTCTGCTCTCCAATGTGCACCGGGGCTTTCTAGGAGGCGGAAGGTATTTTTTCTGAGGGACTCCCGTGTCGGATCCCACCCCGGAGGGCAGTGCAGGATCTCCTGGTTCCCAGAAGACACTTCAAGGGATGCTGGGCTCACCTTCCCTTCCAGCCCATCTCAGCCTGAATCCCAGCACGGCTTAAAAGCTGCCCGAGACCTGGAGCAGGGACCTCTTTCATGGGTGGGGATCAGAGGTGGGATTCAGCAGGTTCTGACCAGTTCTGGAGAACCGGTAGCGGAAATTTTGAGTAGCTTGGAGAATCGGTAAATACCCCCTCTGACTGAAGATTTTGCATTATCCTTCCCCTGCCACACCCACCAAGCCACGCCCACACAACTGGTAGTAAAAAAAATGGAATCCCACCACTGGTGGGCATCCTACTGAAGGTCAGCTGGCCGGGGGACCAGGAACTGCCCTTTAAAGCAGGGGACTCCAGCCTTAGCAACTTTAAGCCAGGAGGACTTCAACTCCCAGAATTCCCCAGCCACCTCTGGGAGTTGAAGTCCCCTGCTTTAAAGCACCCGTGGCAGAGGTGGCCATTTTCTAGGGGAGGGAAG